ACTGAAAAGGGCAACAGGCAGGCAGAAGCAGCACACGTTTCAGGGGGGATGGAGACAGCAACAGCACAGCTCACGACACCTGCGCAGAAACCTTTGGTCCTGCTACGCACACTGCTGATCCCAATACTTTTCTCCTAAAAATAAATAATAATAAAAAAGGGACTTTTCTCCTTTGCCAGCGTGACAGCTGTGCAGGAAGGGTTGATCCCCTCCAACTCTTCCAGTCTGAGCAGGGACAGCTCTAACTTAGAAGTGGCATCCAGCAGCCAGAGACATGAAGACAACATCTCCTTTCCATAGCCTCGTTACATGATGGAAGTGTTTCCCTTTCCAGGAAAGGCATTATAAAATGCTGAGTGGCACTGTTTGATAGGCAGAAACCAAAACAGTACTCCCAATGCTGAGCAGATGAAACCACTCCCTGTTAGGTGCAGTAGCTACCGTAGTGGATCTAAACCCACCACGTTAGCAGAGTTGGCAGATGCGATTTATGCTGACAAAAACCGGCATCTAACACATTGTTTATTCATCTATTAAAAAAAAAAAAGCTTTCGATTCTTAGAAAAATGAGCTGTAGAAGTGATTGGAAGTGATTTAAACCACTAAAAATCAAGGGCTTTGCTTTCATTTCCTGGAGGGAGTCGTAGCAATAACTCACAGCTCCATACTGCTCTACATCCCAACAATTTATTTAATGACAGAAAAACAAAGAAATGAAGGAAAAAAAGAAAACTTGTAACTATAAAGGCAATATACCCTGTCAAGAGAAATGAGTACCCTACATAGAAGCATTTTAACTCGGTTACTGTCAACTTTTCAGCTGCAGCGAAGCACTGAAGAATGAAAGCTCAGCCCAGGCTGCAGTAATGCCTTGCATTAGTCTCAGTTTGGAGCCCCAATTCCAGGAGAGGTTTGGTCTCAAAAGTACTTTGACTTCATGATCTGGAGATCTTATGTAGTTTGTAAGATTGAAGGCAACACGAATATGGCACTAAGTTAAGATACTGCAAACAAATTCAACCTGGAATTGGTAATTTTATTGATCTCCATTCAGTAGCCTAAGCTGGATAAAATCCAAAGGCAAAGGAGACATTGCCTTCATAGGAAAAGAATAAATCTGATTTTACTTAAAGGCAGCTCACGGGAGGTGCGAGGGAATGGGCTCTGATCAAGCCATAATGAGGGGGCAGAGAGCAGGCTTCCTCCCAAATAAAACAAATGCAGTAACCAGCTTTCAAGTCATCAGGAGCCCACCCATACCTCCCTAGAGCAGCAGCTGCTCTGATGGAGCACTGCAAATCTCTGACGAAATCTTCAGCACATAATGTCTTTTTTAAAAAGGCAATACCTTCCCTGATCTTACCAGACAGGCCAAAGGGTGGTCAGCAGAGGCGGGCTTGGGCCCAGCCTCACCAGAGCAACTGCTTGGGCATGAGCAGCACCAACACTTCTCAAAGTCAATATTGATCCTAGCATAAAAACACAGAGACATTTTTTCTCCCCAGTAGATATGCTTTTAAGTCCTAGACTTATACTTTAATACATATTGCTGGTTGTAAACACCCTGATTAAATTCCAACTTGGATGGTTTCCTTGTATCTACTCAAAATCTATCCTCTGGTGCAGACCTGAGGAGTCAAGGTATTCCATCTCCTGCAAGTGCCACCTGGAAGCACACATCTGGGCCATACCTCCTCGCCCCATGTGGAGGTCGTGTTCACCCTTAGAATACCTCAATTGTTATTAAATATTGGCCACCTCAAATGCCCCCTAGAAGGAACTCTCCCTTAAGAAACGATACCTTGCCAGCATGCTTTGCTCAAAAGAAAGTAGTGTTTAATTAGTGAATGGTGACTCTAATTGGTACTACAGAATCACAGAAAGGCAGGGGTTGGAAGGGACCTCTGAAGATCATCCAGTCCAATCCCCCTGCCAGAGCAGGATCACCAGACCAGGTCACACAGGAACGCGTCCAGATGGGTTTTGAATGCCTCCAGAGAAGGTGACTCCACAACCTCTCTGGGCAACCTGGTCCAGTGCTCTGTCACCTTTACAGTAAAGAAGTTTTTCCTTATGTTTAGGTCAAACCTTCTGCGTATTAGTTTGTGCCCATTGCCCCTTGTCCTGTTGCTGGGCACAACCAAGAAGAGCCTGGTCCCATTCTCCTGACACCCCCTCTTTAGATATTTATAAGTATTAACAAGTTTCCTCCTCAGTTTTCTCCAGGCTAAACAGCCTTTCCTCCTCTCTCAGCCTTTCCTCCTATGGGAGATGCTCCAGTCCCCTCATCATCTTAGTGGCTCTACGCTGGACTCTCTCCAGTTGTTCCTCATCCTTCTTGACCTGGGGAGCCCAGAACTGGACACAGTATTCCAGATGTGGCCTCACCAGGGCAGAGTAGAGGGAGAAGATATCCTCTCTCAGCTTGCCAGTCACACTCTTCTTAATGCACCCCAGGACGCCATTGGCCTTCCTGGCCACGAGTGCACATTGCTGGCTCATGGCCAGCTGCTGCCCACCAGGACTGCCAGGTCCTTTTCCCCTGAGCTGTTCTCCAGCAGGTCAGCCCCATCCTGTACTGATACATGGGGTTGTTCCTCCCCAGATGCAGTACTCTGCCCTTGCCCTTGTTGAATTTCATTAAGTTTATCAGCCTTCCAGCCTGTCCAGGTGGACTTCACCAAAATCCAGTGTTCACAGGATTTCACATCAGTACAGAATTGGGAGTATGTTATCTTTAAGACACCCATAAATATTTCCAGAAAGGCTTTACAAAAATAAGATAAAAGATAGCAACTATTTTCTCATGGTACAGCTTCTGAAATTGGACAGAAACCACATTGTGTGAAATCACATCCCAAGTCAAGACAAACACTGCATCTAAGAGTCAATATTTATTTGATTAATAACTTACAAAATTTAACAGATTTAATTTATGTAAGGAGAGCTAGTTTATTAAACATTTTACAGATTTTTTTTGTTCACAATGTAATACATCAAGATCTCAACAGTATTAAAATAATACTTGGCACAGTTATAAATAAAGAATATACAAAAAAATCCATAGCTTAAAATGTAGTGACGCTGTTTTACACATTATTTGAAAAAAAAATCTGTTGGACATCAAAAAATACAGAAACCTGCAAAGAAACAGCACATG